CCGCGCGGAGCAGCGCATGCCTGTCCAAGGCGTTGAAGGCGCTGGACAAATCCAACATCGCAAACACCTCCCCCCAGCCCCCGAGGTGGCGGGCCCGCCGCCGGCGGGCAATGTGCGCCGCCGCCTCGGCGCCGCCGGGGACCGCGACACCGATCTGGAGGGGGGCCAGTCGGTCGCGCGGGGCGCCAGCTACCTCTTGGCAGGAACGCTTGCCGACGAGGCGCCGGAACACCTCCCCGATGGCGACTGGGCGCAGGCCTTCACCCTTAAGAGAGGCTCCTGCGAAGTGTTCGGACACGGTGTCTGGGGCCCGCCCCCTGGCGCAGAGGTTGATGAGGTTTTGAAGCTGGTCGACGACCCCGCCTCTGCAGGCCGCGTTGAACAGCGCGTCTTTTAGGCGTTGGGGTCGGGGGCCCGGCGGCCCGGCAGCCGAACCCCGCAGGAAACCAGCGCCTCCCGCCTGACCGCGTCCCCGTCCACCTGCAGAACCACGGCCGAGCGGCGGCTTCGCGGATGTATCTGGTGCATCTGCGCGACGACGTCGGGGGTGACTGACACTGGCGGCCGGCTGGTCGGAGCCGAGAAGTTCTTGGAGTAGTGGGCGTCCGCGGCAAGCTGGACGCATCTTTCAGCTCGTCGAAAGTCGCGCGGCGCAGTCGTGGCAGTGTGGGCCCCGACGGCCTCGGCCCACAGGAAGGCCTACTCCCCGTCCATCCAACGTTGGCAACATGTTTTGGTCCAGGCTTCGCCGCCAGCCCTGCTGCCCCGGCCTCCGCGGGCGTGGGGGCGCAGGACGCACTTCGGGAGCATCGCTAATGCCGTCCACGCTGCCTCGGTGTTGCGGCGCAGGGTCTGGGCGACCGCCTGCACAAAGCACCGCGCCTCTGCGCGCCCTTCGGGACGCAGCGTTTGGTGGTGGAGCGCTTGCAGCAAACTCCCAGGAGGGAGGGGAGGCCCGCGGGCCCGTCGGGCGGGCGGGTCGCTCGCGGCAGGAGCGGCGGCTGCTTCGGCTGCGGCCGCACGCGCCGCAAGGCGGCACCTCGGGCAGATGCCGCCGAAACGCGTGGACAAGAAGCGCTGGCAGACCGAACGCTACGCTGCTCCACCCAGTGTTCCTGCAGGCACTCGGTCGGGACTGGCGGAAGCCCAGGGAAGCATGCGAAACTGGACGCAGGCCCGAACTCTACGCTGGTGGTCCGGGTCGGCCGCCGGGGAGGCGCGGGGCGGGGTGTCGGGCTGGGCGTGGGGCCACGCGTGGGGCTGGGCGCGAGGCTGGGCGTGGGGTTGGGCGCGGGGTTGGGCGTGGGGCTGGGCGTGGAGCAGGGCGTGGGGTTGGGCGTCGGGCTGGGCGTGGGGCTTGGCGTGGGGGTTGGGCGTGGGGCTGGGCGTGAGGCTGGGCGTGGGGCAGGGCGTGGGGCAGGGCGTGGGGCTGGTCGTGGGGTTGGGCGTGGGGCAGCTCGACCGTCTGTTGGCATTGGAGCAGACATGGTAAACTAAATGGTAGGAGTGGCGCATTGATGGGTCTCCGCTACGCAAGTCCCGTCGTGGCGGCATGAGGGTGGTGTACGCCTTGTCTGCCTTTGCTGTGAATGATTGGGGGGGGTGCAGACTTTTCGGAAACGCGCAAATGGATGGGCCAAACGGGGTGGACCAACGTAACCCAAACCAGGCGTGGACTTTCCGCTTTGTCGGCGACGCCCTCGTCCTCGCCTGGCCGGGTGTACAGCAGGCCTGCGCGACTGTCATTGCCTGTGGTTGTAGCGTCGTGATGTTTCTTGGCGTAATCAATGTTGCCGCAACCAGAGTAAGACCCCTCCTCGCTGATGTCCGTGACTCTTTGGATGTCAGAGCGAAGGACGGGGCACCTGGTGTCGTAGATGGCAACATCGCTGGTGAGACTGCTGATGTCGGGCGCAACGGAACGATGCCTTCCAATGGCGATGTTGGGAGAGTGTATTGCGCCTGTAGCATGTCGCGGAAGTGATTGTTGGCCAGTCTCGAGTCCATCGAAAGGAGCATCCGTCTGATGAAGAGGTCGGTTGCTGACAACATGTGGTGCCTGCTCTGGTCACCACCTCCTCCTGGTCCTCCTCCTCTTCCTCCTCCTCCTCTTCCTCTTCTCTTCTCTTCCTTTTCCTCCTCCTCCTCCTCCTCCTCCTTCTCCTCCTCCTCCTCCTCCTCCTCCTCCTCTCCCCCGCCCTGACATGTCCGAGGGCCCGCCCGGCGCCTGTTGAACGGGTCCTCCAACACGTGCCCGATCTCCTCGATCCCCAACAAAGCCCAGGAGATGATGGCCACCGCGGGCGGCATCAGGTCCGCGGGCGCCGCCGCGACGGCGGGCACAACGGGCGAGGGGGGAGGGGGGTGAAAAAAAGAAATAAGTGGGGGGGAGAAGAGGGGGAGGGGGAAGGAACAGGAAGGAGGAGAGGGATGAGGACGGGGAGGAAGGGCAGGTGAAGGAGGAGGCAGGGGAAAGGACGGAGAGGGGGGGGAGGAGGGGGAGGAGGAAAGGGAGGAGGGAACGGATGATCACTGACCAAAACGCCAGCTCTGCGGGAGGGCCGCCATTGAACACCCCCCCAATGAATCACGGTTATGGATGTGAAAGCTCATGGGGGACACCCATTTCTCAGGGCGCATCCCAATAAGGGGAGGAAGGGGAGGAGGCGGATGGGAAAAAGCAGGGGTACGTTCTCGTGCAATACCACGAACCCAAAGTAAAGCGCTTCGCGCGCCAAAAGGAAGAGAAACGAACGACGAGAGAACAGGACAAGAAAGAGGAGGAGGAGGAGGAGGAAAAGGCGAGCGCAGATATCCGCGCTCGCGCCCACGCGCGGCCGCGCGCCTTGAAGGCGTCGGCGGCGGCGCCGGAGCCCCTCAGACGATGACGAGACCGTTTCTGGGATCAGTACGGTGACCATCCGCCTGTTTTGACAACAGAATTGTGCTATAGCATCGTATCGGCTGTCCTTCGCGCGTAAGACCAAAACGCCATCACTGAGCTCAACGTCATCAGCGGTCAAAAACCGCTGCGACATGAAGCATCAATGGGCCGAAATAGAAGGTTCGCGCTAAATCGTCGCAGTTGCCTGCTCCAAATCTGTCAACAAACGCCGCGAACATTCGCCCTAGAGAAATACGCCTCGGCTGCAGAAACGGATGCTGCCGCCCAGACTCGTTCCAGATTTCGATGAAAAGCGCGTCCATGTCCATTTTTGCCTCCAGTGCCACCATATACTCCTCGTCGGAATCTTCAGGGATTGTGTGCAAAACACACTCACTGGGAGAATCCTCTCCCACGTCAGCGTGAATCGAAACCTCGTTTGCAAAAAAAGGTCAATGCGGTCGCGAAGATGTGTGAGCCCGTGTGTCGCCTCTCCTGTCTCTGGTGTATGCGCATGGACGTGGTCGGCTGGAGAATCCACCCCGCAGATTGATATCGAAACAACGGTCATGACCAGTTTCCGGGCATTCGGCATGTGCAAATGTTTCTGGGCATTCTGGCATGGAGTATGGCATCGAATGCTCTTGCATTGTACCCCGACTGCGCACTTGGATCCAGTCAGAGAATATATGTGAGACCGATGATCTCGATGTACTCAGAACGTGTTCACCCACATGCCACGTGGAGTATGCCCTGCCAAATGCCCCATCCAAGTGAACACGCACGTAGTCGGCAACCGTCAACACGTAGTGGTGAAACTTCCAACGAGTTGCACGCACACACAAAACCACATATTTTGAAATGGTAAGAGCGAAATGCTGCCTGACGAAATGCAATACGAAAATCTCTCAACTCTCTCCTTTTCGATTTCGGTATTTCCATTGGGCCGCCATGAAGCGTCGCAACCCGGGGCCGTATACGTTGCTCCTGAAACTTCCTTGAGTCTTGAGCCTTGATAAAAGGACGAGGGACATGCAGAAAAAGGCTAAAGGACGGAATATGCATAGATTACGGAGTAGGGGGACCAGAGAGCAGGAGGCAGGAAACAGTATGCAAACACGGCCAGCAGGAGCAAGAAACAGTAAACGCGTGGCAAGAGGAGCGTGGCAAGAACCGCCGCGAAAGCGGGAACCTGGAGCATGGATGGGGGGACGAAAAAGGCAAATGCGAAAGGCCGCGCTTCGGCCCGCCTCTCTGGGCCCATCCGGAAGACGCCCCAGCCCCGCCGTCGAGTCCGATTTGCCTGCGCGGGTGTTTCTCACCCGCGCTTCCCTTCCCCCCGCATCTGCCAGCCTGGCCTTCCCCCCCCCCCGCACATCCTCCTCCCGCCCCCTTCCCGTTCCCCCCCACGCACTCCACCCCACCTCTTCCGTTCCCTTTCAGCCTGGCACACTCTCCTCCCTTTCGTCCGCACATACCTCATTCACTGTACAAGCCATGGGTCTTGGCTCAGATGGCAGCACACAACGAAACTGCCTGCACCGTTTCCTCTAGATGGGCGCATCCGCAGTAAATGAAAAGCCGCCCTCACTACAAAAGGCGCATCCATCCACACACGCCGCCCTTGTTCCCCCCGCCCCTCCACCCCCGCGCCCCCGCCCCAACTCGAAATTGAAATCGCAAAGGCCCGACGCACCCATTCGGATCAATATGCGTCCGGCGTTGGGCCGACCGGCGAGAAAAAAAACACCCGCTTGACAGAGGGACCTCTTCCCCTCGCGGAAACGATACCCCAAAACTCTGACGTCGTGATCATTTCACAACGACTGGCTTTTCATCCCAAATCGTTTTGATGGCCCCGGGGCCCACGGAGGGCTCCTGGATCGAGATTCGGGAGGAGGTAGGACAAAAAACATGTCTTCGAGATTCTTGCGGCCGGAAAAGGCAACACATGTTCATGGCAATGATGTATTCGGAATGCCCTTGGCACCTGCCCCCCCTCCCCGATCCCCCCACCCCGCGAGAAGGACCCACCTTCCCTCCCACCCTCAAGCCCTCAGAGCCGCGTTCGCGCGCGCCCCCTGCTCACGAACCACCACCACGGCACCGTTCGGCGTCAGCCCGTCGGCCTACCGAGGTCCACCAGCGCGAAGGGTATCACGCAGAGGTACACCGTCAGGAAGCGGGAGAGGTGCCTTCAGCGCGGCGGGATCACTCTCCTCCCACGAGGAGAGCGGAGGGAGCAAGGTGGAGGGAGGAAAGAGGTGGACTAGAGATGGGGGTGTGGAACATGAAAGATAATTACCCTTATCACCCATAAGGGAAAGTTGCAAAGCGATGCGCAGCGCTCAAGGCAAATCTTACTATGTAAAGCGTGTTAAGCGGGCGCGGTACAATATCCTCGGGATCCCATGCGGCAGCAGCAAGGACAGGGTGAGAAGCAGGCGCGGCAGGATGAACGGCCTTTCCAACCCTGGTGTTCAAGCGAGTCCGTCGTGCGTTGCATTGCGAGGCAGACGGCCGCGGAAAAAGCTCAACTGACCGCCCTTCCCATAACAAATCTTTGGCCGCAAAAGGGCAGGTACACGTGAGTTCGACAGGTCCCCGGGTCGGCGGCCTTCGTTCCATCCCAAGGGCACATCGGCACTCCGCGAAGCCAACCGCAAAAACACCCTGCGGCGCCGGTGGCAGGGATGGAGGCACTCCCGCCAGAGCCCGCGGGACTGGCCGGAGCAGGCAAATTTCTTCCCCCACCCCTAAGATGCGGAACTATCAAAAAACACCTGTCACAGCAACCGCGAGTTGCCCGGACGCAGTCCGAGCAAACCCGCACCATCGACTGCTGTACATGTCAATATCGCGCGTGGATGCCCGCGCGCATTGGAGCGCGCGCCCCACTCCGCGCGGGCCAATGCTGCTCTTGGAAATAAAGCTCGCATCCCATCCCCAATGGGCGCCGACTCCGCGTGGCCTCGCGGCGCAGTCGCAAGAGTAATCTCCTTAGTTCTGCGTGAGCGCGCTCTAGTTCGAGCTCGGGGTTGCCTTCTCCAGCTTCTCGTCGCTGAATCTGACCATGGCGTGGTCATAGCTGATCTGGCCACCCATCGCGCTGAAGATTCGCTCTCGGCCCATGCTGCCCTTGGCCGCGGGCTTGGCCCGCGCGCCCCGAGCGTCGCGCCAGCGCGCGTCGTCTATTATCCGCGCCGTGCGCAGCTGGTCGGCCAACCCCCGCTGGCGGCCCGCAGCCTGCGCGTTTTTCTCGGACGGCGGCCGGGCCGGGCCCATGGGCGGGGCGCCGCAAGCGGGCGCGCAGTCTATGATGAAGTCAGCAGGGATTGCGCAACCTCCTTCCGCCTCTAGCCTTTTTTTCCCCACATCCTACATGGTTTTTTGTTTCCTCTGCACACACTCCGCGCACGATCTCTCCTCCTCCTCCTCCTCCTCCTCCTCCTCCTCCTCCTCCTCCTCCTCCTCCTCCCTCTCCTCTCTTCCTCCTTGCTTCCTCACCCTCATCATCATCATCATCATCGTCATCATCATCATCATCATCATCATCATCATCATCATCATCATCATCATCATCAGCATCAGCATCAGCATCAGCATCAGCATCATCATGATCACCATAACTCCCCACTCATCATCATCATCATCATCATCATCATCATCATCATCATCATCATCATCATCATCACCACCACCATCATCATCATCATCATCACCATCACCATCAGCATCCCCATTATCATCGCACGATCACTCATCATCATCATCAGCATCGCCCGATCACCGTCATCATCATCATCATCATCAACAACAGCATCATCATCATCAGCAGCATCAGCAGCATCGCACGATCACCTGTAACTGTCGTCATTTTTGGGCTCCTCAGGCCTGAATTTGGAGGAAGTATCGAACGGCAGCCTCGTCTGTGAGCGAATTGTGAGGAAGTCTCAAGCGGAAGCCCTCCCTACGGGTCCCGCACTTCACGTTGGCAATCCGAGCGGGTCATCCTCAACCTGAAACTGTCATCATTTATAGGCTCCTCAGGCCTGAAGTTGGAGGAAGTATCGAGCGGGAGCCTCGTCTGTGAGTGAAATCTGGACGCTACGCGTATCCCGCCCAGTCGCTTACGTTCTCACCCACATAATGGTCCACGCCACAGGGCGTACATCGAATTCCCTGGAATTTTGCTCAGGGTTGCACGATGCCTGAGCTCCCCTGGGTGCCCTCAGCCAGTCCGCCCTCGCCCCGCAGCTCAGCAGCTGTCTTGTGAGCTGGCCCGGCCGGCCCGTTTCGCGCCCTGTAGCTAATTAGGTTTGTTTCCGTGCCCCGGACAGCTTCTGTCTCCGCCTGCGCTTTCGCTCGCGGACGCGACCGAAAAAAAAATCCCCACCAGCCCATCCACAAACGATGCGTTGGGCACAGGCGAGTTGAGGTGACCAAGGAAGTGTGAGCCATCTTGAGACCTCGGACGGCCATCGGAAGCGAAAAGGCGCGAAGGCAACAATCATTGGTTTTCCTTAGGTTTTTGAAGGATGTTGGCCTCTCGGAGGTCTCCTTGGGAGGCTATTTGGCCTCTTGGAGCCGTCTTGGGGCGGTCTTGGGGCGGTCGTGGGGCCTCTTGGAGCATCTCCGGAGCCATCTTGAGGCATCTTAGGCTATCTCGAGCCATCTTGAAGTTCATCTTGGGCTCTGCGGAGCGCTCTTGGAGCCGTCTTGGGACATCTTGGACGCTCTGCCGACCAGCGCCCCCCCCCGTCCAGGTCCAGGGGAGGGTGTAGGGGAAGGGGTAAACCCCTCTCCGAAGGGGAAGAAGGAGGGGTGGAAGAGGAAACTCCGTAAACCACCTACGCCCAGAGGGCTGGTGGGGTTATGAGGAAGTCTCAGGCGGAAACCCCCTCCCTATGGGTCCCGCACTTCATGTTGGTAATCCGAGCGGGTCATCCTCAACCTGAAACTGCCGTCACTGTTGGGCTCCTCAGACTTGAATTTGGAGGAAGTATCGAGCGGGGGGAGCCTCGTCTGTGAGTGAATTGTGAGGAAGTCTCAAGCGGGAGCCCCCTCCCCATGGGCCCGCACTTTATGTTGGTAATCCGAGCGGGTCATCCTCAACCTGAAACTGTCGTCACTGATGGGCTCCTCAGGCCTGAATTTGGAGGAAGTAGCGAGCGGGAGCCTCGTCTGTGAGTAAAAATTTGAGGAAGTCTCAGGCGGAAGCCCCCTTCCTATGGGTCCAGCACTTCATGTTGGTAATTCGAGCGGGTCATCCTCAACCTGTAACTGTCGCCACTTTTGGGCTCCTCAGGCCTGAAGTTGGAGGAAGTATCGAGCGGGAGACTCGTCTGTGAGTGAATTGTGAGCAAGTCTCAGGCGGAAGCCCCCTCCCCATGGGCCCGCACTTTATGTTGGTAATCCGAGCGGGTCATCCTCAACCTGTAACTGTCGTCACTGTTGGGCTCCTCAGGCCTGCATTTGGAGGAAGTATCGAGCGGGAGCCTCGTCTGTGAGCGAATTATAAAGAAATCTCAGGCGGAAACCCCCTCCCTATGGGTCCCGCACTTCATGTTGGTAATCCGAGCGGGTCATCGGCAACCTTTAACAATCGTCACTTTTGGGCTCCTCAGGCCTGAATTTGGAGGAAGTATCGAGCGGGAGCCTCGTCTGTGAGTGAAGTTTGAGGAAGTCTCAGGCGGAAGCCCCCTCCCGATGGTTCCCGCACTTCATGTTGGTAATCCGAGCGGGTCATCGGCAACCTGTAACTGTCGCCACTGCTGGGCTCCTCAGGCCTGAATCCCACCAGCCCTTTAGGGCGTAGGTGGTCTAGAGCGTGTCATCTGCCAACCCCCTTCTTTCCCTTCGGGGAGGGGCTTACCCATCCCCTTACCCCTCCCCACCGACCTGGACGAGGGGTTCCGCGGGTCGTTGGGACGTCCAAGATGGCCCAAGACGGCTCCAAGAGTGACAAAGCGAAAAAGCACACAACAGTGATTTCCCTTATGTTTTGTAAGGATTTGGGCCTCTTGGGGGGGCCCAAGAGGCGGTTCGAGGCACTCTAGAGGGGCAAGGCTAATATACGACCCCCCCTTCTCTGATTGATCTCCTCCAAGATGGCCCCAAGAGCGCCCCGAAGGCTCCCAGGAGGGGCCCAAGAGCGCCCCAAGAGGGCCCCAAGAGGCCCCAAGAGGCCCCCAAGAGGCTTTCAAGAAGCTCCCAAGAGATCCCCAAGAGGCCCCAAGAGGCTCCCAAGATGGCTCAAGACTGCTCCAAGAGCGAAAAAACGAAACAGCACAATACACTGACTTCCCCTAGGTTTTGGAAGGATGTGGGCTTCAAGAAGGGCCCAAGAGGCGATTCGAGGCACTGTAGAGGGGCAGCGCTAGTATACGACCCCCCCTTGTTTGTGATATATCTCCTCCAAAATGGCCCCACGAGCGCCCCGAAGGCCTCCAAGAGCGCCGCAAGAGCGCCCCAAGAGGGCCCCAAGAGGTCCCAAGAGGCCCCCAAGAGGCCTCCAAGAGGCTCCCAAGAGACCCCCAAGAGGCCCCAAGAGGCTCCCAAGATGGCCCAAGGCGGCTGCAAGAGCGAAAAAACGAAAAAGCACAACACATTGAGGATCTTTAGGTTTTGAAAGGATTTTGGCCTCAAGAAGGGTTTCAGAAGCGATTCGAGGCACTCTAGAAGGGCAGCGCTAGTATACGACCCCCCCTTGTTTGTGATAGATCTCCTCCAAAATGGCCCCACGAGCGCCCCGAAGGCCTCCAAGAGCGCCGCAAGAGCGCCCCAAGAGGGCCTCAAGAGGTCCCAAGAGGCCCCCAAGAGGCCTCCAAGAGGCTCCCAAGAGACCCCAAAGAGGCCCCAAGAGGCTCCCAAGATGGCCCAAGGCGGCTGCAAGAGCGAAAAAGCGAACAAGCACAAAACATTGAGGATCTTTAGGTTTTGTAAGGATTTGGGCCTCAAGAAGGGTTTCAGAAGCGATTCGAGGCACTCTAGAGGGGCAGCGCGAATATACGACCCCCCCTTCTCTGATAGCCAAGATGGCCCCAAGAGCGCCCCGAAGGCTCCCAAGAGGGGCCCAAGAGCGCCCCAAGAGGGCCCCAAGAGGCCCCAAGAGGCCCCCAAGAGGCCTCCAAGAGGCCCCCGCGAGACCCCCAAGAGGCCACAAGAGGCTCCCCGATATACGCAACGGGCCCCC